AATTACCATTATATTTGCTGATCTTGTTCGTAATAATGATGTCATTTCTAATCTATTTCTGCTTAATGACGTCATTTCTTGTTAAATTTGGTTTTGGGACACTAAAACCAGTGTTGACGTCACTTCTGGTTCTGACTTCACTTCAGGTTATGACGTCACTTCCGGTTTGTCACTTCTCTTTCACTAGGTAATGACGTCTCTCAAGGTCTATTTCTACCAAAGACGTCATTTCGTGATTAGATGGACCTTGTAGTGCTATTTCCGGTGCTGACGTCACTTCAGATTATGGTCTCACTTCTGGTTATGATGTCACTTCCGGTCCACTGGAGGCAGTTGATACTCAAGGTGCTTCTAGTGTGTACTCACCCTCTGATGCTGCTGGTGCCAAATCCTCGCTACGAAGTCTGGGAGCGATTTTAGAGTTATTGAGATCCATTGTTGTGTCATGGGTGAGGCTAGTATAGTCCAAGGCATGAAGTTCTGAAACTCTTGCTGCTGTGGCCATTGCTAGATGGAAGGAAGCTTTCCTGGATTTTTGGAGTAAGGTAGTTTTAGCCATGGGCGCCTAAGGTTCCATTAACAGTGCCTATAGTACAACGGATAGATTCCACTTGGGGAAGATACAGGGTGTGCGAACATCTTCTAGTAGAAAGGATCTCATTCGTCTGTAATGTGATGGTTTCCGATTGATAATCCCTCATGGTGAAGTACAGAGTGAAGAGCCGATCTATAACCTTCTATCAGACCATGTTGAAATTTATTGTCTTGACGTAGATGTAGTAGAAAATCCACTACCATAGGGATGGATATAGCATTAGTTGTAATCCCTTGTCGTCTTCTCCACTGGATGAACTCATCCCATCTGTTGTCATATATAAGGGAGGATGAAGGTGTTCGGGCGAAGGAGAAGTCACATCACATGCTCACTGTTAGTCCACCAATGCAGGTCTCAATTTAAGCTGGGAGGTACCTGAGTCTCAAACTCTCAGCTGTGGGATCGTATAGAGTTGATCCACGTCTGTAGAGGACGTAACATTAGGTCAAATCTTGTAGAGACGTTAAGTTGCCTAGAAGAGACATCCATCACCTCAGTGACTTGCTGGGTTGACTCGAAAGTGAATGAATCATCTTTATAGTCTTGTCGAAACGATCCTCTGGTGGGCATAGATATCCCTTGTCTAGGTGGAATCTTGCTCTGATGTTTATGATGTCTTGAAAGGGAGTGGTCTCAGACTTGGAAGGATTGACTAGGAAGCCTCAGTAGGTGATGTTGGACCAAGAATATTGTGTTCTGATGTAACTGAGCTTTCTCTTGGTCTGCAGCTAGGAAATCATAGAGGTATCCATGGATTCGAACTAGCTGGAGGTGGCCAAACTTGATGACTGCTGCTGTAATCCTGGCAAAGAGCCAAGGTGCTATTGATATTGCAAATGTAAAGACCTGGAACTCATAACGTCGACAATTGATCACGAAGAGTAGATATTTCCGTGATGATGGGTGTATCTGGACGGAAGATAGGCATCTTGTAAATCAAGTCTGACAGGCCAGTCTCCTGTCTTCAGCGTTGACCGTAACTTTCGTACAGATTCAATCTGGAATTTTGGCGGAGGTACCAGGTATCTTTTTTTGAGGATCTTTAGGTCGATTATCATCCTCATGTCGGTCATATTTTCTTCGGGACTATGAAGACTGGAGAATAAAAGCCCTTGGTGTTGCTGGTTTCCGCTAGTCTCTGAGTCCTAACAGTCAGATCTGCTGCAGCTAGCTTGGCTCCAACTGGATGAAATCTGCACCCAATAGCTTGAGTCTTCAAGATGTTTCTTGAAGTGCAGATTGTACCCATGAGCAATGAGCCATGAGTCCAGAATCCAGCGGTCGTGTGTAACTTGCTTCCAATTTTCAGCGTATGACAGAAGACGCCCTCCCACTGGTCCTGGAGTCAGCATTATCTTGAAAGACAATAGGTGTTAATCGCAGTCCAGGTCAGAATTTGCGTTCGCCTCTGCCTCCAGATCTTCAACAGCGTTTAAAACCTCGTTTCTTGTAGTCTTGCTGACGAAAAGATTCCAGAGAAGATTGGTGCTTTTCGTACCCCCGATTCGGTTGGAATAAATTCTTCCCAGAGGGGACAAACTTCTTCTTAGGAGGCTGTTTAAATGATGAAGCTTTCTGGTCCCAGGAAAGCCTCTGGGGATGGAACGATCCATGGGACTTGGCAGCTAGGCTGATAGTCAACATATGGAATCCCTAGTATTTTGTCTGGCCTCGTCTATAATGCATACCAATTTCCTGTTGAATGTTGTGGTAGCCGATATCGGTTGTGACATGATCAACTTCTTGGTTTTGTTAGAAACAGCTTTAGAACGGATCTGAGATAGCATCCAAACTTGCATCCTGACCATGGTGTCTAGTAGGCTGTGGATGAGTCCAACTTGATCAGTCCTAATAGTCACAGGCATGTCTTCGGTTATGCCTTCATAAGATGACTGTAATATTAATGGTGAAATGATGTGTCTGGTTCTGACGACAAACCAGTTGATATACGGGCCAATGTCCATTGAGTATCTGGAAACTGATGACAGATCCTACAACCGCGAAGCAGGTAATGTGACATTAGTACTAGGGTTGCATACTAGCTTGGTGAAATCTTCGTCCATACTCGGAAAATACGAAAGTGGAGCATGGTGCGTCCTGTACAACTTCAGCTTCAATGGAGGTAAGGGTAGTCGTTCATTATGTCTGAGCTTGTCCAGACTGTCCGACATCTGGTCTTCTACCTTGCCTGCATGTGTTGAGACGAAGTAGGAGCATGACATCCCCCATATTCCGGCATCTGGAGTGGCGCTCTGTCACAGGAGATTAGAGTTTTGGCATGAGGGGGTATAATTTATCTAGTTTCACATAAGTATAACTCTCGGTATAATCCCTGCTGGGGTGAGTCGTCAGCCTGGTCTTCAAAACACTGTTTCTGCCTCAGAGTGTCCGAGGGTAGCTCCCGTGGGGGATGGTTAATCGTGGTGTTCCGCCGCGTCTACCCCGTGCAGTCTGTCCTCTTCCGGTGTCCAGGACTCCGGTATGATTAAAGTCTGTGCAGCTTGCTATGGTCTGCATGTAACGGGACCTGTACGGTGCTTATTATCTCGGTTGGCTGAACAATCCCGTGAGGTCTGTGCGGCTGGCATGGGATCCGCGGATTGATGGAGATCATACGGTAAGCCGAACAACTGGACGGTCGGAAGGGGTCTGTGCTGTAGCAGTACTGTGTCCTAACGGTGGGCTGGCTGGGTAGTTGGTCTGTCGGCTGGGTTGACGTGGACGGCTGGCCCATGGAGTCTGTGCCACAACCGTACGGTGTCTTAATGGTCGGCTGGCTTGATGGTCACCTGGCTGGATGGCTGGGTTGCCGTGGACAGCTGGGTTGCCATGGTCGGCTGGGCCATGGATACCGTACAGTGCCCGGGCGTAGTGGGAGACTCCATTACGACCTCACAAACACCTAGCACCAGTTATACTCATGTGCGTGCAATCGTCACTCCAGAAGCAGCTATTAATATTTACTTATGTGCCTGTTATTATAGAAAACTTTTGGAATAATCTTAAGAGTAATGTGACTTACTACCAAGTGCTAGATCGTTACTTCTGTTACCATAGGTTATGACTTCAAGCACACACAGGAAAAATATGAGGTTTCCGCTATTGCATGCATCATAGCTTGGGTGGTTACGATGCTACTTGGGAACAACTAATTATGTTTGAATGACAGTGAAGAGGAACTGGATAATAAATTTCAAATTTTCGGTACATAGAAGTAAAGCGTGGTACGGTTCCTTTTGATCTCATTGCAAATGAAATCTATGTTATTTTTATTTTAAATTGATATTTTTCATGAAAAGAAACTGCTTATAGTTACGATTCCCCAAAGCATAAAAAAAAACAGATGTGAAATGCTTCTTCTAGGAAAAAAGAGTGTTTTTATGTTATATGGAAAAAGTCTTCAGGCAACATATAGAAATGAATAGATAGCTTTATGACATTCATTCCACATTTGCCAAGAGACATGGACTTGTGAGCTTTTGTTTGCTGTGTTCAAATCTTCATTCTCAATGAGTATTCGCTCCGTGGAGGAGGAAGCACAGCAGCAAATCCTAAGCAAAAGATAAATATTTACCAAAAAAGGTTCAGTGGTTATATCTCAGAGACACCTCTTATCTTGCAATTATGTATATTGCCTAACAACTCTCTTTGACTCTTAAAAAATAGAAAGTGACTTGAATCTCCGGTTTGTGATGAGCTAACTGGTTGACATGGTTTACTTGACCTGGCAGACAGCACTTCCCTGGGATTCATGCCATCATGGTGACAATGCACTTACCACAAACAACATAATCAGCCTACAGTGTACATGTGTCAACCACATGTAGCATGTGTGAAATGTCAATTGTCTATGGCAGACAAGGCACCAGTTCAGCATGTACCTGACAAGCCAGGCAAAGTTTCATGATAAAATATTGAACGGTTTATGAGTTATGCTCCGGAAACGAACCCTACCCTCACAGAACCTAAGTCCATCTTGTTGCCATGGAAACGTAAAAAATAAAAATTTCTAAATAGCAAAAGGCACCTGTTCAGCATGTACTGGACACACCTGCAAATTTTCATGAAAAAATATTGAACGGTTTCTGAGTTATGCTCCAGAAACGAAACATGGCGGATGGACGGCCGGACAGAGCCCGTTTCTATATAATAATAATAATAATAATAATAACAACACACATTTCTAGATCACCCACCCAATTTGTGACAGGGTACAGTTATCAACATGTACACAAAACTTTAAAACATACAACTTACCTTGTCCATTCACTTGGAATCCTCATACTATAAGAATCATGAACCATACAAAAGAACAGTGAAATGTTTTAGCTTAAACTAAATCAGTTGAAACAGCATTACAACAGGTGAAAAATTATATTCTGGCCATGAAATCTATTTTATATACCTTTGGCTGGGTTCACCTTGATCCCTGAAGTGTAAAGCTTCTCCTCAGTGTGCCAGGCAAAGTTCCTAGAGACAGTCTTAGCACTGAACAGCATCAGTATCACAGCAACAGCCATGAGTACAAGGCGTCTCTTGCCAGGACTGGAACACATGCTGTACAGGATTTCTGCTCCTTCAGCAATCAAAAGGCAAAACCCCATGCTAGGAATGTACAAAATCCTTTCAGCTATGACAAATCCTACATAGAAAAATAAATTTGAGGCTGGTATAAATGGAAAAATAATTATGGCTAAAGAAACGATGAGCACATTGCTGTGTTTAGCAGATACAGAAGATGGTGTCACAAGTTCTTCATTCTCAGAAGAACTTGCAGATTCTCGTCTTTTTAACCTTGGTTTGCAATTGGTTGGGTTTATTTTACCATTATTGACATTATGGTGAACCCCATTGCCATTCATCTGTGTTTTCAGTCCCAGGTATGGATTTCTGACTGTTTGGTTCAACTGCTTTAAAATAACCTGAGCAAAATAGGCTATTGAAATGTACATGATGACTGTATATACATTTCTATAATCACTGAGTCTTTCAACCAATGGCACAGACTCCATGGACCAATCAAAGCTGAGGATTGAGGGACATAGGAGCAGCCATATGTTAAGAGTAGGCAGGAAGTGATAGGTTAGAAATCTAGTCATCAGGCAATCAGAGTCAGAAGCTGGGTTATCCGAGGGAGCGAACTCTGGTGGTTTGTTCCCCATGAAGTAGATTCTGGTAGCCACGAGAGAGATACCACACGTCGCAAGTAGCACCAGTCCCTCACACAGACCTCGAAAATGGCTCTGCAAAATATAAACACACACAAATTATTTGTGATGCCATTAAATACTAACAAAGATGTAATATTTTGGGTGGTTGTCCAGTACATTGGCATCAGTGCAGTGTGATCGAGTGTTTGAAACACAGATGGGCAATACTCACTATTGTGCACAGGTGCTTTAAGTATATCAATTCCTAACATAGAAAGCTGACAGTAATGGAGAGTTTATACAAATAAAAATCTGAGAAGTGCAACTACTGAGACGCATTAAGTGTAATGGACTGTGAGACTGCACTATTTGGGGATTAACCTCCATTACAAAACTCTGGAACCATTATAACTATCACTTAAAGGGGCACTTAAAGGGGCACTAATCTCTGGCTTTTTCTCAGCTGTCTAAAATAGTGCCTGTTAGGGCTCACAAGCTGCCTTGAGTTGATTTGCTGGCTAACGCAACCAAGCGTGACGAGACTGGGCTACCGTCTGTAAGGACAGCTAAATCAACTTGGAGGCAATATTTGTTTTACATATTTTTGAACACTGATTGGTTAACCGTTATCTATGAAGATTTCAAAAAATGGTGCATGTTAATTAATTTCTTCAGCCAAAAGAAACAGACAAAAAGAACGGTGGAAGCTCGTCGGATATCGGTATTTGGAAATACCCCTGATGGTTATAGTTTGATAATAAAAAAAAGTATCCATGCAGTGAAAGCATTTTCGGATTTGGGGTTGCGCGGATGATACGATTGCTATCTCTTGTTGTCATCCATGTTTCGTGGTATAACCCTACACCTGCGTATTTGTTGTCATTCACTTGAAGCTCAGTTAATGAATTTATTACAGGTATAGTTAGTGGTAGCACCACTCAGATTAACGGAGAAAGATTCTCATTTGTCATTTCTTGTGTCTGGGGTAATTATTTAATCTGAATCCAGGTATGAAGTAGGGTGAAATGTATGTTATGTAATATGCACGCCAGCCCAGATCAACTAATCATTCCTTGCCATAAAAGGATCAACAGAAAATATGTTGATTGATTAATCACAGTGGATTTGTCAGAAGTAAGTGTTTACATGTGTAGGTTTACTAAAGCAGACGGAATAGACTCATATCATGGTGTGAAGTGCCGATGAAAAAACAACATACTTTGTAAAAAGGATTAGCCGACAATAGGTTGCTTGATTGTTCATTGTTATCTAACTCTTAGTTTTTTTAAAGAACCATGGACACTATGAAAATAGCTGTCACGTGGGCTTTCTCGGCTGACCTTTAAGACTTCAAACCTTTGTGAAACACCTGAAACAAACTAAGTAATCAGTTGAGAAACGAACACGGGTTATAATATCCCAAAACGCTATATATATTTTTAACATTCGCAAGAATTACCGAGCAATAGTTATCATTGTTAATAATTCTAAGAATACTACCTCTATTACATCATAGCCATAAATCCTGTATTTTTGCGGCAGACATACTATTACTAAATCTTCAGATTTTCAACAGAAGTCCTCTTCACTGTTACCTACACACAAAGAAGTCCTCTTCACTGTCAACTAACCCAGGTAGCTCTTTAGCTCTTCAGTGCAAAAAGGCGGGAAAAACGTCACTTCTTTCCAAAACATCTCACCACTAGAGGCAGATGAATTGGGGAGGTGGGTGGGAGTACTTCCTGATGTAATAGAGGTAGTATTCTTAGAATTATTAACAATGATAACTATACATCATAGCCAGAGTTTACCAGAGGGATAAAAAAAAAAAGGCGGGATCTGCCTCAAGTGACTCCCTGTGTTGTTGATAGCAATCCAATACTGTCGTATGAGTTCTTGTATATTACCTGATTCAAGCCCTTTCAAGAGGTAATTACTCTAGAATCTCTTTTAGAGGACTTGAAATCTGGTATTATGATTATATCAGTCAATATGTGATACCTTCACCTGAAGTACCTTATTATTTGCTGATAGTCATGAAATGATGACTTGAGTTCTATTCTAACTCATCATTTGTCTCTGATTCTGAGAGTGACGTCACTTCCGGTTTATCAACTTCCGGTTATGACGTCACTTCCCGTTCTATTTATGTCAATTCCTCTTTTACAACTGGTTTATGATGTCATTTCTAGAACATCTGACGTCATTCATGACGTCACTTCCGGTTATAATGTCACTTTCAGTCTATATTCCTTCTGATTGTGACGTCACTTCCGGTAGATCTGTTTGTCAGCTTTTCTAATACAGGTAGCCCTTGAATTTGTTACATACCATACTAGTTAGTCTGTAGCTGCTGATGTCAGATCCTCGTAGAAAGAAGGAAAAAATAGGGACATTGACGTATAATCATTCCCAACGAATGAATACCTGTCAAGTCTGGCTGGATATCTCACAAGTAAAAGCCAGTGAAAGTATTGTGTGACCCCCTTGGCATCCTGCTCCGACTTGTTCAATGGACACGGATGACCAGGATGCCAGACTTGTTGCCAAAACTCGGATTTCGTGGGCAGAGCTAGAACCCAAAATAGGAGGAGTATCTTGTGCTTGCCAATAACTTGTTGCTAAGGTTGTTGCCAACCAGCAACCATAGTTTTAGTGATATCTTTATCCAAGTGGGTCTTGCATGAGATGAATAGACGTCTTTGATGTTGGCGATGTGGATAAGTGGCTGTCAGATAGAACATGAGAGCTCGTACAGGACAAAGGAGGCAATCGGGATGATCCACCGTAGGTGCCAAGGCGGGAATAGTATAATGTCTGTGACCCAATGGACCAGGAGCCGTGGACTGATTCTTGGCAATAAAGTCTGGTAGACGGGGATGGAGGTCCAGTTGGGAGCGTGAGTGAGACTGGAATAGTTGAAAGCATGGAGTTCAGAAACTCTAGCTGCGGTAGCCATGGCTAGCAAAAATGCTGCTTTATGTGATTTTTGGAGAAGAGTAGCATTTGCGTATTGAGAGGCTAGTAGAGCAAGCAGGACGACTGATAAATTCCATTTTGGGAAGATCTGGGAAATGTGAATATCCTCTAGGCTGAATGTGTGTGTTAAGCACCGGATATGTTCCAATCATTTATCCATCGAGCTGGAGAACAGAATGGAGGGAGGATCTATATCCTTCAATGGTTCCATATCAGAAGTTATTATCCTGTCGTAGGTGTAAGAGGAAATTCACAACCATGGGAATGTCCACTGTGACATTAGTTAGACCACATCTGTGTCTCACCTAGACGAATAAACTAAATAAAGTTTGGTGGATGATGATCTCCATGATCTTGTGACAGCAGTATAGGCAGCTTGAGAGTACCCGGAGGCCTGCATTCTCTGTGAGATACTTTTCAGGCAGTGAGATGGAGGCGATGGAGGCTGGGAAGATTGGAGAAAAAATAGGTTCGACCTGGGCTGACGCAGGAGATCTTTGTGAAGTGGAAGAGTGAGTGGCTCGCCCATCAGGAGCGATAGTAGTCTGGGATGCCATGTCCTGTTTGGCCAAGTTGGAGCGATGTGGATGATTGTGCAATCTGTCACTTCCAACTTCTGCATGACCTTGTCTAGGAGAGACCATGGTGGGAACGCGTAGGCGAACAGTCCTGTCCAATCCATGGATAGTGCATCTATCAGCTGGAGAGCTCTCAGACTTGGAACTGGGCTGACGTAAACCGGAAGTTGATGGTTGAGACAGGTCGGGAAGAGTTCCAGATGCGGGGTGTCCCAAACGGAGGTTATCCAGGTAAAAACGTCTGGGTGAAGAGTCCACTCCATGGTAACGATCCTCCCTCTCCGGGACAGGCTGTCCACTAGTATGTTCAGTTTGCCTGGAATATGTCTCATTTCCATCCGGCGGCTGAACGAGTCGCTCAAAGCAAATAGCTGAGTTGTTTCCATCTGTTTCCAAACTGGACTTGGTTTTCGCCTTGCTTCTGAATGTAGGCCACCACTCTCATGTTGTCTGTGGCAATCAGCACGGATGATTTGATGAGGCGATATTTCCAAGTCTGGAGAGCATAATAGATTGCATTCCTCTCTCTGCAGTTTATGTGTATAGCTGTTTCTGTCTCGGTCCATAAACCGGCTGTGTCCAGTTTGGCACCATTCAGGTGAAACCTGCGTTCCTCTGGACGCGATACAAGTCCAGGGTTCTTGAGAATATGTTGCTTGTGATGGATAACGTCTAAAATCCAGTTGTCGGTCGTAATGTGCATCCAATTTTCGGCGAATGACAAAAGAAGCCCTCCCACTGGACCCTGAGAAGGCGTTGTGTTGAATGGGGGAAGTTGTGTATCTTTATCCGTAGACAAAACCAGAATGATAGGAACTGTGATGCCTGGAAGGGTCATCTTCTATCCCTGCGACCTCCAGACTTGAAACCTCTATGGCAAGATCCCCGGAGTCTGAGTTGTCATAACGCGGGGATGCCGGGTAGGAATCCCTTTGCTGATGAGATATACTTCTTTCGCGGTGGTTCGTGGAAAGAGGAATTCCTGGCCGGTTCTCGTGATGGTTTAGGCAGTTACTGCGGTCAATGTGCCTTGACTGCCAGGTTGATCATAGACACTTGAAATCTCTTTGTCGTGTCCTGTCTGACTCCTCCTGATTGGCCCAGCTTGTTGTGAAAGACCGTCCATGATGTGACTGGCTGTGACATGACCTTCTGCTTGGCATGCTTGGAGACAGCCCTTGATCTGACTTGAGACAGGAGTTGTTGATGTTGAAGCAGTCCAGGCCTGCGTAGATAGCATATCCTGCTGCATGCGGCAAATTGTGTGTAGCAGAGTGCATAAGTCCCACTTGGTCTGTTTGGATGGACATCAGAGTTTCTGCTGGGACATCATCAAAAGACAAAAGACGTTGGTAGAGGTGGCGTAGCATGTCAGATTCCTGCGATGAACCCAACTGAGATACCTGCCAATGTCTATGGAGTACTTGTTAACCGTAGTTAAATCCTTAACTCGGCTGGCCAGGAGCATGTGTTTGGTGTTAGGATTCTTAACCAGCTTGCTGAACTCGTCATCCAGTGGCTGTGACCCCGGGAATG